TTTTGTTCATTTTTTAAGCTGATTGTCCAACAAAGGAATGCCTCAGGCCTCCAAGTGCTTTCTGAAAAGAGGTATTGGATCTGTCTCTCCGGAATGGCATCATTGAGACAAAGCAGAGAGAGAAGGTACTTCATGTGCTGTTCTTCCCATTAATGCTGTGAAATGCGCAGAGATGCAGATGAGTATTTGCCATGCCAGAACATTTATCTTCACGTTCCATTTCAGTGGTACAGTGTGTACTTGTGGGTAAGTCTCTAAGAAGTGAGGTTACTGAAGACATCTATTCTCCGTTCTGCCCGCTGCACGCAGCATAAGACCTCAAGAAACTTCATGGCCTAAATGACGTTGGATACTTGTGGAATGTGGGCAGCCAACAGCAATGTGTTTTTAAAGGAAGTCCACAGTATTTTGCAAAACTCACCGAAACATCAGGTTGCTATCAGAATTCCTAAAAAGCCAGAAGACCAGAAGCCTGTTGGGTTTTTGGTTGTTGTTTTTGTTTGGTTGGTTTGTTTTTTGTTGATTTTTGTTGTTTTTTTTTTTTTCATTCCTCCTTGTAGTTTTCAGGAAAAATCCAGGAAAGATTTTACAGCTATCAAGATTAACGTGAGACTTTTTCTGGTCCAAAATCCAGAACACAGATCTGAAATGCAAATGTCATGGTTCTCTCTTCTAGAGATTTAGTCCCAGAAGCCCTCACCTGCCATTCCTAAAAAGAGCATGTCCTGGGAACGTTGTAGGTTATTTCTGTTAAAAGCCCATTTCCAATATGAAACCTTTTGATGTCTTGAAGGGTTTTTGTAGCTTCTTGTAATGCTAATTGCGTATGTGCTGGAGAATAAAACTTATGCCAAGAGAACCTGATAAGAAAGGGCTTAATGGGAAAAAATGTAGGAGATAGAAATCTGTTGTCTTACTTCAGAGTTCTCCAGGTATCTCAGGGAAATGCTCCCAACAGAATACTGAGCATTCAGTATCCTGACAGTGGGGGAAAGACTGTGTTTCTGAAAAGAGAAGGCTTACAGGTAGGCTGAGGGCAGGCTCTCACTGCCATTGAGCTCTTTATGCCAAGAGCAGGAGCATTGAAGTTGTTGTCAGATTTACCTGCACGCAAGTCAGGTGCATCATGGTGGTTTGAACCAGTTATTGTCAAAGGTTCCTGTCAAGCCTTGTGCTATTCAGCCCACGGCTCATCTGTTCAAGATAAGCCTTTGGAGAAAGTTTTTGCTTCAGTTTTTCCAGGCAATGGTCTCTTAGCCAGTGGCTGATTTTGCATAATAAACCTTGGCAACTGAGTTGAATTGGTTGAGGCTAGGGTTGTCTTTGTGCACAGCCTTGCACAGCAGATACTAACCTATGATCTGGTTACTGTGTGCACTGTGGTGTTGTGGAAGAGCAGATACCCATGTTAGAATTTAACTTCATTTCCCACTGAAAAGCCCTGTCATCGCCTTGTCCAGGCACTGGGAAGATTTTGGTTTGTCTCACTCATTGGGTGGCTCTTTGGAGTGCACACAACTCTTGCCGGCTTATTCACTAAAGCTAACAGTCACTTCTCTTTGTGGATCTCCCTAGTTACCCTTTTAAATGTTGCACCTCACATCATCACAGCCTGTCAACTCTATTGAAATCTTTGTGATTATTTCCTAAAGTCTGTTTCTCCAGTATTTACCATGGCTGATATGAGTGTATTACAGGATTTCCCTTTTTTATTTCAGATAGAATATCAGTTCTTTAGGAACAAACAGGTAATTGATTAGATTACTGATATTATTGAATTACTGATAAAAGGTGTTGGTCTGGAGAAGGCAATTTATTTCTTTGGTATTTTAACAAGGGCAATCAACCCTAATTCCAAATTCTCTTTGTGAGGTTTTGCCTTCTGGGTAAGAAACATCCTTTTCCTTCCCCTCCCCCCTTTTCCCAGGCAATCTTCTGCTGTGCTTGGAAGATGGAATGTATAGGTGATATCCCTTTTAGAAAATACATCCATAATATATCACGTGTATTGTCATTATGATGTATTAATGTAATGCATCATCAGAGAGCTGTCAGAGTGAAGATTTATTACTCTAAAATAAGTTATGGTAAGACACTGGGGAATGAGTTGACAGAATTTTTGTTTATTTTTCTAAATTAAGAACTTTCAGAGTAAGTTTAAAGATCTCTTACCTTCATGAAGTAAGTAGGGGTGGGAGGGTCACAGAAAGGAGGACTTGAATCAAAAGCACCAAAAGGACTCTGGAGGCCTCATAAGAATAAGAATTTAATATTTTCTTCCCCCAGATATTTTCCAAGAAGTATAGTGTGCAGAGTTTAAATGTACAGCTTAGATGAGAGCTACACGAGGTAGTCAAATTAATTTTAATCAACCCAAAGCGGACTTCATTCAATTCCCATTTAAGGAAAACAGAGTCTCAAAAGCATAAATCCTTGGGCTAAAAAAGGTCCATTGGACTAGAATTGATCCAAAAATACTACATAAGTCTATGCACTTTGGCCAGGTGTGTCCAGTGGAGTTACAAACCTGCTTCAAATCCAGTGAAGTCAGTGAGAGTTTTTCATTAGATTTGCACAGACTTTGGATCATGCTCCTTTGCTGCATCATGTGGTGAAGCCATGAAACTTGGCACATTTATAGCATTGTAACATAAAGCCATCTGTGTACAAGCACAAACTTTTCCTTATTGCCAAAGTGCTTAATGTAATTACAATCAGGCTTGCTTCTTCTCTGCTCACTTCATCCATATGCTGAGATGTATGCAAACTTGAACTGGTAAAGAATCCCACAGCATCTGAGTGTGCGTGCTGCTTACAGCAGTATACATTGCTAACCTTGTAAATCTTATGCCCTTCTCCATTTCAAGGAACACACACACAGTTACAGACTGTCTTATGAGGAAACAGTCTGGCAGCAGAAGTATGCCAAACAGTTCAGACTGGGTTCCTTTCTTGCTAACTACACGAGACACCTGAATTTGGAGCCCAGTTGCCCTTGCTCTTTATGGGTAGTTTGAAGTGTCCCAGGGAGGGATGCCCACAACAGGAATTGCTGTCAGGAAATATCTTTCACACACTGCTGGCTAGAGAGTGAGCATAGAGCTATTGTACCTTGTCCTCCATCTATAGGAGATTATATTAAATCTCCAGGCTGTCCCAGTCCATAAGCAGCCGCAAACTAGTTGTTTTATCACACGGTTCACTCTGTGTTGACTTCAAATAATTCTAATTGCAGTAATGTCTTGTGGTTTTTACTACATCGCTTGCATTTTATGTATCGTGATATTTACATGCAATTTCTTCAATTCTAAGGATAGTCTTGGTCAGTGGAAGTTGAATTCCAAAGTTGTTCACAGGTTAATGAGTGCAGTGTGCTTGCTGCTGACCGACCCGACAGCCCATAGGCAGGTACTTCACATTATCAGTGGGGATGGTGTATTTGAAATGGATGTTAACAATAAAAAGAAACATATGCAGTGGATGCATTTGAAGGAGCAGGGAATAAGACTGCAGAAGAAAACTTGCAGAGAGCAAAAGATGGTCATGCAAAAAAAAGATCTACAATTTTCTCCAGCTGAAGAACAGCAGTGATAAGCTGTTTAATTTTGGCCAATCTTAGAAAGACACTTCCATTAATTACCTAAAATGTAGGTATGAAATGAGTGCCAAAGTTATTCAAATTGCCTCTACCTAAAGCATGTTGTAAACTGTGCTGCTATCAGTCTATGAAAAGCCTCTCCTCCTCCATAAAGTTCAGAACAGTTTAATACTGTATAGTTGCACAGATACATTGGCTCGTCATATTTTTTGTTTTAAGATATTATCTGAAATGGGTATATGAAGTTGTTTATTAAGCACCTGCACTTTGCAGATGACAAGTGACACACAGAACTTTACTGGTTATCCTGAAGGCTAAGTAGATACATGCTCATGGTTTAAAATGTACTACTGTCTGTGGGTATTATATAGCCATCTCAAACAGAGCAGAGATTTGCTTTTCTAAACCAGGATGTATGAGGGGCATGACTTTTTTTCTGTTGTTATTATAAAGTAGTCAAAAAGTTCTTAGTATGTATTTGTTGTGATTGACTGACATGTTTAGCAGAAGATGGTCCTGGTTTTCTGAAGATCAGGCAGGAGGGCTTGTAGAATCAGCACATGAAGCATGGGAGTTTAGGGGAGGCTTGGGTTAGGATCTATAGTCTGATGACAATAGTTTATTTCCCAATAGCATAGTGCTAAAAGGAAGGACTTCTGACCCATGCTGTAAGTGCTAACAGGCAAACAAGTCTTAGAGTTGAATATTTCTGTGGGAGGTTGTCACATGTACTACAAATTGGAAGTTTGAATGCTCGAGTTACACAGTTATGAGGGCTTTGCCCAAGCTCCTGTCCACTCTCTATTTCTCAGTAGGGTTTTGCTTAAATTTAGTATCTGTGGTGGTTCAGACAGTCTTAGGTCAGTGAGTCTGAAAGGAGATAAAATGTCTTGGAAAGACCATATGAAATCTATCATGACAAACCACTGATAACTCCACATCTTATTAGCTTCAATTAAGTATTTCCATGGGAAACCATGGAACTGTTTAAAGTCATGATGACACATACACACACTTTGTTCCATCCAAAGAAATAATCTGTTTTCCAGATTTCCAAATAACCGAGGTTTTTTTATTGTTTTTTTTTTCTTTCTTTTCCTCCTTTTAAAAGAAATAAATTATAAGAATTTATCTTGGGCTTGCTACAGATTTAAAAGGAGAAAAAAGGTTTCTTCTGTCCGACTTTTAAATTATATGCATGACTGGAGATAAATATGTTTTTTATTTATAACTGTGGAGAGGTGCCAAACAAAGCCTTTCATATGACGCACTGCTGCAGCAGCAGAGAAGTACTTAAAACAGTTCCAGTCAAGTTAGGCCCCAAGACTTTTCATGCAACTTCATGCAAAATGGTAAGAACTTTCATTTATTTTTCTTCCTTTCCTTTTGAACATCTTCAAAGGTTGCAAGTGCAACACACTTAGAGGATGCCAGGCTTCTTCCTGCCAAGCTGAAACAGGCTGAAAACCACATTGAAACATGGGAAATTGCAGCTACCCCAGATGGCAGATGAGGATTGTTTGCAGGCTCCCCTGGCCCTCCCCTCGAGGCCGGTTACAGTTGGATGAAGGTTATGGACAGGGGCTGGCAAAGCAAAGAGTCACTGTGCTGCTGTGAGACTGGGATGAATGGACTTTGACAATACTGCTGAATAGGAGTGCTTGTGGAGCCAGTACAAACAATCTGTAATTGTCAGAGCTGAAAAGTAAAAACATGATTATGAACTGCACACAGGATCAGCTTATGTCAGCTTTAAATGATTTAAAAGTCTAGTGTCTGGAGCCGCATCTCACTTGCCTGTAAAACTCCTTAAAGAGGACTTACATAACCGTACAAGCATGTCTCTCCCTTCTTGTGTGCATTGTGAAAACTAACCCTTTGTCTAGCACTCAGAAGGCAGTTTTTAAGACAGATAAATCAGGAAACAGGGGTTTTCTTGATTTAAATGGAGGAGATGCTTGCCTTGTCAGAGCAGCACTTTCAGAAAGCCCTGGTTATCCTTGCTCTGTGCAGGAAGGGCTCTCAGTAACCAGGTGTTGATGCAGCCCTGGTCTCCTGGCAGCTTCAGAACCTGGATGGATGTGACACGAGTTTCTAAATGCAGCAAACTTCCTTGAGAAGAGAAGGAGCACAAGAAAGCCTCTTCTGTTACCTAGAGCCAACCATCATTACGCCTGACCCTAGCTCATTACCCCTCCATGTCTGCAGCAGATGGTGACCTTAGGTGGCACTGCACAACACTGAGCGAGGAGATGCCTTCCTTGTGACTGTGGTTCCTGAATGCCAAACGCTGCATCTTCTTCCCCACTATGCGTCCAGCCTTCCTCTATGCCAACACACCCACAGAAATTAAAGTACTACTGTGTACTACTAAGCAACACTATTACACAGTGGGCTACATTTCCAATTTTGCCACAAATGCTTCCCATCACCCAGCAGAATGGAGTAGAATGGAAGCAACTAATTTACCATGTAATAAGATAGGGTCCTGTTGACACAAGTCAAGGGCAAAACTATTAAGTCATTAGGGCTAATGTTGTTACATTCTGATACAAAGGCAGCCCAGGCCTTTCAGATGTACATCTGACCTCTGAGGATTAAGTTTCTTCACAGCTTATTGTTGGTACAGAAAATGTCTTCCCCCCCCCTCCCCCCTCTTCTGCTTCAGACACATTGATCTTTGGCCCTGTGCTACGTACAGCTTGCAGATCTGCTTCTGAAGTCCTGATTTGCCCCAGTTTCATCAGAAATAATAATAGCAAAGGCGTCACATCCTTAATCAGCAATGCTGGGAATACATCACATTGCTTTTCTTAGCCCTTGGCCCAAGGGGTTGCAGGCAGAAGGGAGGAGATAGAGGTGGCTCTCAGGGTTCTTGCACAAAGTAAGAAAAGTGAAGACTGCTCAAATCAATCAGCCTAGACGTCATTTAAAGCTGTGTAATATGAACATGTCTTGCTATAGCCCTGTGTTATTTTGGTAAAACAACTTTTTCTAATCTAATAGCTCATTAGTCAGTTGACAATTTCAATCATCGTATCCTCCAGCACAGCAGCAAGACTGTACTTGTTCCACTGCTGTTGCACAGGCAAGGGAAATGCAAGTGGACTCCAGAACTTGCCTTATTGCCCTGATTAATATCTCTCAGGATTCATTTTATTAACATCAACTTTGTAGACTTGTTTAGATCTGAAACTTTTGGCTTAATGCTTTGCCTTTTATGAGTCACTCTTTGAAATAGAGATGTTCTCACTTGGACTACGGTAGATTGTGTCTCTGCTGCTCTGAAAGATAACTGTTCTTCAGGTGGATTTGTGGAACAGGTTATACTGATGTCTTTCATATGTGATGAAACTTCCAAGACGAATGAAGAAACCCTATCAATGGACACCCCAAGCTGTTGTATAGATAATTTGTCTGAAGCTTCTGACCAAAATGTCACATATTCACATACTGCCATTATTTCACGAGGATGGCTGATTTTATAAGATGCTTTTGTCTGAGGCTGTATTGAATTTCATTCGCAAGTTGTTTATTACAAAGTATAAAGCTATGTGATAGCTTTACGGCTCATTTTAAGGATGTGTAGGTATTATTTGCTCTGTGCTGTAATACCATGAAGGCCAGTTTTCAAAAGTGCTCCAAATGCTTTGGAGTTTAAGTCCCTTTCACCTTAAAAACGTGAGTGCAGGTCTGGCCTATTAAAAATACGTCTTTCAGCCTCTTTGTTGTTGAGAATGGGGAGGGGAGTGCATGGGTATTCTGTAATGCAGCCACTTCTAAAAATATATCTGAACCTATCTAAGCATATCTTGCTTATTAGTGTACCTTGTCCTTTTGAACTACTGGAAGGAGTTCACTCTCTGAAGGAGGAATTGGCTGTTCTAAAAAGGACAGCTGGGAAACAAGACATCCAGTGAGCTTATGGCAAGCCGTGGAATGCTATATTTCAAGAATATCTCTTTTAATTTATTTTTTTATTCCATGATTTTAAATACAATGGTGATGGGAAAATGCTACATTTCATGAATTTCTGCTTTATTTTTATTTTTTATTTTTTGTTTTTCTGAGGCTTTAAATACAGTGTTGACTGGGAAAGGGAAGTTGCGCTGAGAAGGATTTTGCTCTTCAAACTGTACGTGCCAAGGTAGGTCTGGAACGGATGCTCATGGCTGAATTAATAAACTCTGACTGCAGAGGTTTAGAACAAGAATTCTGACAGACCCTTCACATGACAACACTAGTGGGAGTCACAGTAATATCATCTGCTGCTGAACATTGCGAGCATGTGAGTACCGTTGTGCCAAAGGTTAATATGCCAGTTTTATTTCCTTCTCTCTACAGCTATAATTTAAACGAGTTGCACACATAAGTGATGTTATATGCATAGGGGTTTGCATTAAGTTTGCTATGTCAGATTTGTTTATAAAAATCATATTTTGAAACACTTGCCCAGGGGCTCCATTCTGGGGAGCTGCAAGCTGATTCCTTTTAAAGAGGCAGCTTTCATTTTCCATGAACTTTCAATAGAGATTTTGGAGCTCTGAGCAGGGAGCTCTGTTTTAAAATTAGCACTTGCCCAGGTTTACAATTGTGTTTAATTACAAGGCAAGAGAGAGTTTAATCTTGTTTTACATGTGTGCCATGTGAACCTTCCCATACCTTACAGGTATCAGAATGACCCCTTGCCTCTCCTGGGGAAAATTGCTTCCCAACATTTTGGAGACCGTTTACAATGTTTTTGTTCCTATACTGCAATGTTAACATTGCCCATAAACCTAATAGTCGCACAGTAGTTAATAAGGGGCAGAAAGTTTTATAGTCTTTTCCACAGTTGTTAAAAGCCTGCTACTGTAATTTGGTCCTGACCATGCAAACCATGCAACAGCATTGGTTGTTGTGAAAAATAAGAGGCCCTATTTTGGTGTTTTCTTGGAAACCGATGGGAAAGAGAACCTCTCCTTAGCATCTAGCTGAATGCAATGAATTTGAGGGTTATTGAAATTGCTTGGTTTGTAATATAAACACTCGAGGGCTTGCCAGCAGTGTACCTTCAGGATGTATGGCTATTCTAGAAAAAGAAAATCATTTTTTATTTCTGTTAAGAACCCATTGTAATTAGTGGCACTATCTGGCAATGGACGCTTTATCAAATTGCCTTTCAGTTACAGGAAATGGGATCCATTAATGATCTTGCAAGCATATTTTTAGTCAGACTCAGCAAGAATCATTTTCTAGCTGTCTTTCTATGTTATGTAAACTAAGAGCATTTTCAAGGTCTCAGCTGCACTGCCCTGTGTGCCATTCAGAACAATTTTTACCTTCTCCAGCTAGAAGCGACCACACTAGTGGAAAAAAGGTACTTCTCAACATAAGATTTCTAGAATCAAACCTGCTTTGGAGATGGCTCAAATGTAGTTATGTTTGGACCCTGGGTATCTATTGGGTCCACACTTATTACGGTTCCTCAACACATCAGCAGGATGTAGGAGGGGTTGGAGGTGGGACAGAGTGGTGGCTGAAGGGTTGCCAGACAAGACCCAATTTGAAAAGGAACTGTTCTTCACAAATTTCTCCAAGGGAAGTTTCCACGACTCAGCCTCTGCTAATAGCTGATCAGTTACTAATTAAGGACATTTATCTCCTGTACCTGTTCTAGTCACGTGTGGAAAAGTTGTATAGCAATTATTACACAGCAGTGAAGAGTCTTAGGGGAAAGGAATAAAGAAAAGATCATTTGCTTCTAAATCAGAATATCACGAATATCACGAGCTCTCAAATGCAATGATATTGCATGCCATCTGAAAGGGGAGGGTTCTAATTATTTGGCTGGTATAAGTCTGCTTCAGTGCTTAAGATGCTGTGATTTCCTTTGGATGCAATCTTACCACCTGTGTTCCTGGGATTACAGTGATAAGTTTTGAGCCATCTGCAGAATTTCTAAAATGCCTTTTGCCTCAGATTAACAGTGAATACTTTGAGTACACGAATTACAATGCAGTGAGTACATAAACCTTTATGTTGATCTCCCTTGCCCTATCTAAGAAAGGGGCTGTGGGCTGCAGTGAATGAGCTTGGTTGGGTTTTTCACCCTCTGAAAATGGAGTCATTGGCTCAATGCTGAATTTAATGGGAGTTTTGAATGCAGTGAATGGATAATTTAGCACTGACAGAAGTAAAGGGTGTGCTGTTTATGGTGGGTGGGCACTTCAGTGAGAAATCTCCATGAATACAGACAAAGTTCCACTCTTACTCTCATGTGTGTTGGGACCCAAATTCAACACGATTACATTGCCACTGTGCTATAATAGAAGTCTAAAAAGGAAATGGTATTATTTGCTCAGTAATTTCTGACCCGTTGCATGACTGCATTACTGGATTCATTCTTAAACACATATATGGGAGTACCCTCATAATTAAACATCTAAAAATACAGCACTGCCATTTCTGGGTTGGTTTCTTAAGAGTGGTTGCATAAAAGTCTATCAAGATACTTGCTACACTGTTCTGTGCTCTTTTGGGGCTGAACTGTTACTGCAAAAAAATGAATTCAGCATTGCAATGGTTGCAGTGCCTTCCAGCTTCAGCACACTGAGTTCTCTGAACAGAGTATCAAAAATTCCCATCTCTGGCAGGCTTGATGCTGGCAGGGTGGGAAGTGGAAGCAGCTCCCTGTGACTGACCCTTCCCACAGTGCCTGGCTTCCTTGCATCTCAGGGCTCAGTGCGCCTGGTCTGCTGCCAGATGTTTTCTGCTTTACTATGTGGGTAAGCTAGAAAATCCTGTGTCATCCTGAACAAGCTGTGGAGGGGGATGGAGAGGGTGCTCCTTCCACAAGATGCTCCTGGGACTAAGTGCAACCCTTTGGCTTAGATTTGCCCCCAAGGTATGGTCTGGCTCAGCACACTAGCTCCTGTCAAGAAGTCAAACATTGCTCTGGAAAACAAACTTGTCTTCATGCGGTAAGTTTGTTCTGCTAAGCCTTGATCCAAAACCCACTGAAATCAACAGTGTTTTGAAGTCAATTTCCAGTGATTTCCATGGTCTGGAGATTAGATTTCACTGCCATTTGGATCTCAAAAGTTCCTGACCGCCTCACTCTGCCTCTTTATTTCTCTACCGCAGAACGAAGATGCTATTTAATGCAATGCTGTTTAACTAGGCACCGTGCATGGAAACTGGAGCTCTGTTGTTAGCCCCATTTCACAGACAAGGAATCTGTATCTAAATGATACCTCAAAAGTGTGGCAAAGCTGAGAGCAGAATCCAAGTTAAATTCCATAGATGCTCAGCCTTCTGGGCCTTGAACAGAGATGTCATACTACAACAAAGTACTTCAGCATCCTTTTCATTTGAAGATGTTTCCAAACATTTTTCCTTATCTTTTGCCTCTCAAAAGTGTTGGTTCACATTCATGTTCCTGTTCCATCAGGTTTCTTTCCTTTTCTCAGCTGCAATCATTAACAGCTGGTGAGTAAACTAATTATGGGTAAAAAATATAGCTGATGGAGTATTTCTGTTCTTGTGACTGGGGGAAAATGCTCCAAGAAAAATGCACTGATTTTTTCAAACCACAGTGGTGTTGTGTTTGGGTGCTTTTTTCCTGAATACCAAGCTGGCTGATGAGCCTCAGCACTCTTGATTTAGACCAAGGGTCAGGCTCCTTAAAAGGTAGACTGAGACCCTTCTTAATTTCTCCATTACTGAGGAAGTACCCATAGTTCAGGCAGCAGTCAGGGAAGGCTGTTGGGAGAACTACATTGCAGGTGACACTTTGGAATTGCAGTTCTTAGGCATTTATCAACCGCTGTATTTTCAGCTTGAAGGTACCAATGTTTTTCTGTGGTGTAGTAAATTACTGAATGTTTACATGCAATTAGGTGTGTGCCTATGGAGGAGAAGACACCAGGAAACAGGATTTTCCTGAGGTAGTTGCTAGTTCAGAGGCCCAGTGCCACTGCAGTAGCTGTTGTCAGGAAGGACTGAGTGGCAGTTCTAATTACCAGTGTCTACACAGGTTTCTCATAGGAAGATACAAGCTGTCACGATCCCTTGCCAATCACATGAGAACTGACCTAGGGAGAACATCAACGGAAGGTGAGTGTACGAGTCCAATAAATTCAGTCCCCACTGCATTAGCTTATTTTTAGGATTGTCCTGAAAAGACATTCAGACTGTATCATAAAACCTTCAACCGAGCAGAAAATATACAGAATGATGATGACTTTAAATTTGGGCTCATGCCCTCTGGGGCATGAATTCATAGTACTTTGAATATGATTTGATAATGTACTGAATGCTTAGGGAATGCAGAATCTCTAGATTAAAGTTCATAAAGACAAAGTATTTATATACAGTGTCGGTGCTCTCCTAATCAAAGAAAGCAAAATAAATTTTATTCTTAAACTTACTGCAAGTATAGTTATTTTTAATTTATAATAAAATCATGGTTTGTCTATAAGATATTTCTCAGCAATAGAATGCTTAGCACATAAATTTATGCGTGCAACTGATATTTTTTTTTCTGATTTTCACCTTCTTCCATTGAATGTATTAGAGACTTGTTCATGAACATAGTTTAGACAATACACATGTCACAAGCAATGATGAATCAAAGAAAGAAAGCATCCAGAAAGGGAAGCTAACTAGACAGGTAGGCCCTCATCAGCATCACATTCTGTTCCGTAGCTACAATAACAATAATTGAGTCAGACACATGGATTTTAAGTGCCTCTTAAAGAGGAAAGTTAGGGAGAGACACTGTGGAAAGAAAATTATATGCTGAAATGTGGCATCTCAGTTTTGCAGCTGCCAACCTTGTTCTGTCAGTAGCCACAGCTGTTGCCTTTTCTTCTAAACTTAGCAGGGGGTGGGTGAAACTAAAGAGAATCAGGGCAGGCACTGCAGCTGATAAAGAGGTGTGGGGCCAAGTCCCTCTGTGGAACCCAAGGAAACCTTTAATTAGTTTGAGCTCTTGAGAAATAGGTGTTTTGCTTGAGTGGGAAGAAGGTTACATTTGGGGAGATGCATGCCTGCCCCATGGATGGGTGCATCCTGGGTATGCTCAACAGCAGCCCATCTTGCCCCAGTTCATTTTTTTTTCTGGTTTTGCTGTATTTCCCCTTGCATTTTGTCTATTGTGGGCAGCAAGCTTTCTCAGTGTTAGCTTTCCCAATGGCTGAAAGAGGACATTTGTCAAGAAGAGCAGGAAATCTAGTCTCTAGTTTCTGCTGCTGACTAAATACGGTCTGTGAGCATGTGTTCCTCAACCTCAAAGCCAAAGCTCATGCATTTCACATCTGGAGTGATGCAAAATAAAGCCTTGTTATAGCAGGGCTTGGTATCACTAGAACAGTTCTCAGTAAAAGTATATCAGTATTCTTACTGCATTTGTGTGTGTTCAAGTGTCATTTTTGGGCAACATCAGACTAAGTACGAGCATTAACTTCCATTTTTCTACCTGTCTTTGGAGTTGCAGAAAAGAAATTTGAAGACATGACCCAAAATTCAGAATAAAATCCAAAGGCAGAAACAAAGCACCCACCATTTCTGATTTTCTTCTTCATTGCTGTTTTTTAAATGCAGTTTTATGCTTAAAAACAAGTTCTCTGCTTTTTGATGCGCTGGCTTGGGATTTGTGAGTGCTTTCTCATTTCTATGTGACAATCACCTGCCAGCTATCCAGATGATGTGGGGAGCTGAATAAAATGCAGGCATTGGTAATGAAAAATGTGTGTACCCCCAGAGCCACATGCTCAATAGCAGTCTTGGTGAAGCAACAAAGTGTGCTTAGGGTGCAAGGACTGGTGATGTAGCACTGGAAGACTCTGTAAGACCACCAAACCTGGTGCGTTTTTGTCCTATTGGAAGTTTTGGGGCAGTGTTATCTGCTGGATGTCTTTCAGCTTGGTGGCGTGTAGCTGGCTCCTTCCAGCAGAGAATGTGGGAGAGATTTAACTTGAGATGTGAATAATCAGAAGAAAAATGGAATTATAACATAGCTGAGAGTAGAGATATAACCTGTACTTACATTATGTGTCAACCTCATCAGGGGATAAAATACTCTCAGCATCAGCCAGAGTAAGGCTCAGTGATGCTGACCTGTTGGGTGAGCCACTGACTGCAGAGGAAAGTACTGAGGAAGGAGAGAGAATGTGGTTGTTTGTGTCATACACAGAAAATTCAGCCTGCGTGCCAGATGATACACTTCCATCTGGTGAAGCTGAAGATGCTGTGAACGGTGATAGGAGGAAGGGGACCATACCCCAGTTAGGTTTAGGCACAATATGTAGTTGAATGAAATAAAATATTTCTTAAGAAATGATTGATGGAGCCTAGAGCTAATAACTTCTGGGGTAATTTTGTCACTTTTATCTTCAGGGCGGAGATCGCTACATGCCAAGCTGCATTCCTTCATAGCATCTGAATCATTCTTATTGTCTCCACAAGCTGAAAATGAGAAACAGACTGGCAGGAAAGTTAAAATTTTCAAGGTGGAAAGAGTGGGGAATAGCATGGTTTTATTTTTATTTTTTTCTGAGATTAAAAGTTCCTGCTGCGTTTTTGCAGACAATGATACACTGGGTTTTATGATTCTTCTATTTAAAACAAAAGTAAAGTTTCCTATATTTTGAAGAGAAGTAAGAGCACCTGAAAAAAAAAGGCTTGCTCCAATGCTGTCTATAGCCATCCAGGCTTTCTGTGAGCTGCATGGGGAAGAAATATTTCCAAGGCACCAGTGATTGCCATATCCTGTATGCAAAAAGATTCCATAAATGTCTGAAAACAGATGGAATGCAACTTTGGAGGAATAAATGGATTTTTAATTTTCTGAACATTTTGGATTCCATCTGGTTGAAGTAACTAAGTGACCTAGTAGAATACTTTTACCTTCCCTGTATAATAGATAGAATCGCAGCCTGCATTGCTATTGACTGACACATTCTTCCCCAGTAATACAAGGGTTTTACTTGCTCTTACCTTTGCTTGCTTTTAACTCTTTTGACTACATAGTGAGGTGCTTCTCTCTCTACGTGTCAGATCTACATGGTGAGCCACCCTCAGCTCACCGTTTGGCCTTGCTGGTAGCAAGGAGGAGCTCTGAAGCACCTGGCTAAGCCCACCTGACAATAGCTGGAGCCTGATGAGATACATATTGTACACATATGTCCTCTTTTATTTTGCTGCAAGCATTGATGCATGTCAAAAAGAAAAAAATTCCTAATTTTCTGTCATGTTTAAAGGCAAAGAATGAGTAGAGCTTTGCATGCAGATACAAACAAGGTGTAACATTCCTGTTTACTGGTCTTTTTGTTATGCCATTTAGAATGCTGTTAAACAAATAAGAATAAATGCATGTGTTTTTTGACAGGAAATGAGCATTCCTGCATGAATAGGAAGTGCAAGCAACTTGAACTCACAAGAAAGAAGTCATAAAGTGTACTACTCTCTATAAAAAGGGGAAGACTTGTGGAAAATACACCATTTTTGTGCCTGGCTCAGTGAAAGCTAGAAAGCAAATCTCTTCACACTCCTTGAGAGAGAAGGTGGGTCTTTTGCATCGCTAATATTAAGCCCGTATTTACTAGCTGAACTCTTAATGAAGCTGATTATTTCAGATTGCTGTTCAGAAGGTTATTCTGAGAGTATTTCCATGCTAATAAGTCCGTAAGCAATAGTTAGTATGATAGTAGCAATGTGTTTGGAATTATTTTCATGCTTCTTGGCACTTTGGAACATTTCTGAGCATTCTTGCTATGGATGTGGATGAAATTTGGAAAAGAATGGGGAATAACAGCTCTCTTTATTTGTTTTAAGGGACAGTAGCGAGGCTGTTTTCCAATTCTTGCAGCAAGTCTATTTGCCTTCCTGTAGAAACCCTTGCATTTTAAGATCCCAAGTTTCAGCCTAGCCCAAAGTCTGAAATCACTGTAAGATTTCACTTCTGCCTGACACATTAATGCTATGTAAAAAAAAATGTGTTTGCTCTGTCCTTAATAGGGCAAAATATAGCATTTGCACTGCAAATAACTTTTATATAAATCTTTGGTCACTGTAACCCCGTAATTCAAATGAAGCTTGTTTCTTCTCCCTCAAATTAGTGATTCTGAACTTCTAACAGTTGGCAGGAACACACACTGATGCTGCCAGGGAAACTCTGGATCCAGTGAAGTCGTGCTTTATGCATCTTTTGCTAGGATCCTGTAATAACCTCGCCTTGTATGGCATCGAGACAATTGAATTCTCTCTTGCTTTATACACTTACATAATTGCATTACATTCTCTGAAGCCTTTTTGCTCCCATAAATGATTAAAACTGCTGTTGCACAAATTTGGACTTGGGAGACATATTTAAACCTCCGTACTCAGAACGGGAGTCGCTGAGACACTGATAGCTGCAAGTGCTGAGGGTTTGTTGTTTTCTGATTTTCTGGCAGTTTAGATTTTGTGAAAGAGAAGTCTGTGCCCTACTAATAGTGCTGATCACGTGTTCTCTCATTTGTGTAATTGAGAGAATTAGCAATATAATGAAAACAGCTCCATCTAAATAAGTTCTGTACCCGCAGTTAATAAAAGAGTTTCTACCCTCAGAGACCTGGGATTCCTCTGCAAACTCTTTTAGTTAAACAAAGCATTCTGTGTACCTGCAGTTAATGGGATATTTATTTTTTCATTATTCATGAAACAATTTTAATGTCACTGCTGATTTTCCTGGTAGGATGTTCAGCTCCAGCATGCTGGAGCTCATGCTGAGTTGTAGCTGAAGATGTCATTCACAATAAACATGAGCTGCTGTGACAATACGATGGCAGAAGGTGAAGAATCTCTTTTCTTGTGCAAGGACGTGCATGTGTCTCTGTGTCTGAGAGGGAGAGAGAGATTTGATTGTGTTTACAAGATTCATTCGAGGCACAGCAGGCAGTAGTCACATTCTAATATTCACCTTAACAGAGATAATTTGATTTTCAGCCCGGTTATCATGCTTTTAGACATAACGATACATGAAAATATATGCTTTAGCAGTGCATTTTAAGCAAGGTTGCACACTTTAAGTCGGAATATATTAGAGGTGAGTGTTGATTTTAACAATTGCAGAAGTCCTGGAAAGCACAGTTTAGCATTCAGCGTAAGTTACAAAAATATCAAAAGGAAACCAAATTCTAATGGGTTTCCTCTGGGTAACTGTTTCTGGGCTAGACTCAAAAGGATGGATTTCCCTGAGTTTGAAGTCTCACAAGGTGTATGTCTTTATCCCATTTGAGAGCCTTAGGTACTAATGGAATTTCTTTTTCAAGTCCCAGGTTGTGTCCAGACTTGAAAATTAAGAGTTAGAAAGTTCCACAGCCTGTCTGAGCTTTACGCTGGGAGGAAAATGAGCTACCTGAGCAGAGGATGAATGTTGTCTTGGGTCACCATCAAGATCGTGACCTGCCTAACTGATGTGACTCAGGGGAAGAGGTAAGTCAATGTTCATCAAGAGCACATCCTCATTTACTGTTTCCTGGAGTAGCGTGAGAGATAAGGGGATTTATCAGCAATTTAATTATAGTTGTAACACACTATAGTTGTAACATTCTTTATGCAAGACAAAAAGGACTCTTCTGTTTGCACTGCAAGATTTCAAGCTCAACTGAAATCTAAAGAGTATGGATGAGGTTGGGCATGATCTTGTGAATCACCTAATGCATGTTTGCAACAAACAAAAGCCATCATAATTCTCACAAAATCAACAAAGGTGAGCGTGTTTATACGTATGGGGCATTTGGCCCAAATCCAGCTGAAGCCTTTGCAGTATCACACCTCTGAATCTTCTGAGGTTTTCTCAGAGTCATTAATATTGAGGCTGTATGCTACCCAAGGCAATTATCCATTACTGCTTGGTCCTGGCCCAGGAATTATTCCACGACATGTTGCCTCATTAAGTGTAATATAATGGAAAAACAGAAACAAACTAGAAACTAGGAAAATGAGGATGGTAAAGGGAAAGAATGTGAAGGATACAAGCTGGGCTGTGTTCCTCTGGTGGTGTGAATTGGTGCAGCGCTATCACCTCCAGTGAGGCTCTGCCAGCTTATGCCTCACAATGCTCTGGTCCATGATTATTAGAAAAGTATGTTGTTGATATGCTCTATAATGGCTTCCATTACCAGCCCATGCTAAAAGAAGCAGCTGGTGAAAGTTATGTTTATGTTCCACAGATGGATCAGCAATGGCAGATACATAGCTCCGTGTCTGGTAAACAGGTGTTTAACTTTATATTTCCTAGCTAGCCAGAAAAAGTCAGAACCTTGGTGAGGGGTGTAGACAAAGGAGATCAATTCAGCTGTTGAAAAGGAAGAAACAATTATTTTTGGTTGCACTTTATCATCTTCTTTAATGGTGAGTGAGCATTCTGAAATGATTCCAGACTTCAGTTGAGCCTCCGTGATCTAACTGTTTGGGAGGGAAAATTAGCAGAGGGTCACAAAGTCTGAAGCTCCTTCTTGCAAATGGAGCAATTCAAATGATACTCCTGCACCTCCTTCCTTTCCTGCCTGTATTCGGCAGGAGAGGGAAGTGCTTTGGCTTCAGACAAAGCAAAATGGGCTGATTATGCAGTGAAAACTTCCTGTACCAAAGGAGCAACTTCACCAGTTGCTGCTGTGCAGAATAAGACTTGTTGAAATTACAGCTGAGTTTAGCTATGCCTTTGCTGGGAGGTGGAAAATATAATCCTTTTCTTCAGAAGAAATGTTTTGCAAACTGTTTCCAACACCTGTAGATTTAATACTTACGGGGGCACAGTCAGTGCAGAAGGAGAACAATTGCTTTTCAGCTCACTCAAAATTGAGCATTTATTTTGACCATGTTTATTCATTTCTGATTGCTCAGAAAGCCAAAAAACAGCTGGAATTTTTTCTGGCCTCTGCATGATAAATATTTCTAGATGGAAGAATCACAACATGTAAATTTCTGGGTGAATATCATTGAGCCTAAAATTCCTTAAACTCTGAGGATTTGGGAGCATTTTCACTGATACCCAGTGGTGGGCTGAGTACTCATTAATAACTAATATTATGATTCCCTGAATCATAGTGATCCAGATTCAGCTCTTCTGGTTGCAAATCAGGTTATTATTTTACACTTTGACCAGCTCTGGGGAAAGCTCCTTAATATGTAATGCAAAGAAATAGCCTAAGGGAATAGAGCAGCCTGGCAGCGTGTGCCTAAAACTCTCCCACACTGCTAACACATGTTCATCCCACTGGCAGAAGGCTGAATGCATGCTGCTGTCTCTTTGCAAGCAGTGGCCCAGTGGGCATGAGTGGTTCTCCAAGGCAAGAGCTGACCCAGTGTGCAGAAAGAGCAGCTGGGATAGCCGAGGAGCCCTGGGTAGGTCTGAAGAAAAGTTCAACTTCAGTGTTGTTAACTCATTATCACGCCTGTTTTATTGAAACCAAACCCCTCAAGGAGGCAGCGTTAGAATCAGCGTGTTACATTGGGAAGGTGCCTGTTCAAATGAAGTGTGAGCAGCGTGTGTTTCCATGCTTCTGTTGTAGATGTAATATATGAGGGAATAGCGAGAGCAGCAGGTGTTGTCAGAATTTATGGAGGAGCAGCAAGCACAGGCGGCAGCCCTACAGGAAGAGCAGTGACAGTTACTGCAGTGAATGATCTTGAGAATTACGAAGCGGGGCAGAGCCCCAGCTACCCTATAGCCTGGTCTTCGGGCAGGAACAAGCAAGACATTGATTCTAGGCTTGCATAGCCAACTCAAGCAGTAAGACTAGCAGCAATCAGGACAACCAGCCACCCAAGACCTGCGCTGAACAAGCGTGGTCCGTGCTGTGCATGCTGATCTCTGAGCAATGGTACTGCTGCCGACTATAAGAGGTACATCTTGAACCAGTTGGGAATCCCAGAATAGAAGTACTGATAAAGGCTCATGGAGGAATTTAACTACCCAGACATCTGTTGAGTAACAAATACAGCTGAACATGCATCATCGCAGAGGTTCCTAAATTACAGTGAAGACAACTTTATGATCCAGAAAGTAGAGACTCCTGAGGAGAAGCCATCCTGGATCTACAGGAATATATTAATGAAATTTGCAGATGAAACTTCACAAGTGCATTAAAAATATAGCAGCTCTGTGACTTCAGCACAGCATCGTATGTATTTAGAGTGGACTGTCTTCCACATCCATTTATTAATTTTCACTATTTCATAAGTTGGTGACCTCAAACCCACTTTCTGCTGTCTTTAAAGCTGTTTTCATCCTCCTTCATGCCAGATACTTGATATCTATGGGCTCTTAACTAATATACTCTGCAAACATTTCTGTTGGATGATGTACTGCTCATGACAGAGACCCAGAGAATTAGAGAAACTGACAGATAATAACACTATGCAATTCAGTTCAAAAATGCAAAAGCATACCTTTCGCAGAAGAAAAACAGTAAGAAACAAATGTTGTATAGTACAAGGTACCTTAAGACACAGAAATATTGAAAAGATAATAATGAACAGCAAATATGGCATGAGTTTTCAATAAGGCACAATAGCAAGGAAGGCCTATAAATTTTTAGAATACAAAGAGATATTATGTCACAGGGTAAAGTTCAAATAGGGCCTTTTCCCCTCCTTGTTGGTATCAGGCAATGCAAAATAGGCTGTGCAATGTTAAAATGAGCAACAAAAAAGGTTGTGCTGATTGTCAAGATGAACTTCTGGCAGTAGAATGTGGGAGTTTATGAAAAATCTTCTGAAAGTTTTGTCTTACAATGATACTAAGGAGCAAAAAGAAAAGCAACCCCAAATCCTGCTGTGTTTGATTTTTTTATCCTAAAATAAGGGACTCCGTGAAGTCCTAAGGGAAAGATTTCTCTTGAAATTTCTCACATAAATCAGCTAGTCTTTGCTATCCTCAAAGAAAAAAACAGCCCTGAATGAATCCTGCTTCATTCCTCGGATTCAATACATGGATAATGCAGGTTTACTCTCTAATGATTCATTTCCTTACATCTGGAGAATGTGTCTTTTGAATTTGGGGTGAAGGGTTGGGGGGGGGAATGAACGTATTTTTTTTCCTCTTTTGCCAAGTTTTAATTTGATACATTCATTTCTCCATTACTATTCTGTCCCAGCATTTATTGTCTCCAACACTGCAGCAAAACCTTTTTCACATCTCTTCGGGAAAGTAACGTTTCAATTTACGTTTGTAACAGCAAGGTACGATCTCAGTGGCCTGGTAACCTTTGTAATCTTCCTGTTAATACACTGTTCATTAGCTTTGTGATGAAATATGCCCGTGTTATAAATTTTTCCAGAAAAGAATAAAACTTTTCTCTTGTCTGCATTAGCCCTGACATCTGCTATAGGGCATACAGAGAAGGAAATCTACCTCCGAAAGTTATTCCCATTCCCATTGTATGAAGACTATTATCAAATAGTTTCACTCCACTCAATCAAAGACCTTCTCAGCATCTAATGTTAATAATGCTCATGGACTTGAGCCTTTGCTTCTTCTAAGATTTTTGAGTCCCCAAAGCATCTCCTAAAAGGTTACTGAGAGGTCTGGGAGTGTTCAGTTCTTTGATCAGAAGGAGGCAAGAGCTCCTTTTAGTCTTAACATTCAATTTCTGTACTCTCACACACACACACACACACACACACACCAAAAAAAGAATAATTAATCTCAGGAACATGGAACTCATTCCAACAAAAGCAATAGTGGAAGACTTTTTTATCAAAGGCGCAATCTAAGAACTACCTTTGCAAGCAAGGAATTGGAAGGAGATGATAAAATGAATGAGAATCCCTCTCTGGTTAATAATTCTGTCTGAATTTTGGTTAGAATTGGAGTCAGACAAAAACAGGTTGGACACAAACATGTTATCAACAAGATAGCAACACTGATATACAAACCAGCAGTAATGAACTGTCTTTACAAATCCAGGGAGGCCTTCTAAAGAAAGCCTACCAACACCTGCCTGAAGGCTCTTCTTGCTTCAGGCTGGATGGATTTTCCTTGCTGTTCTCAATCAAAGTTAATTTGTAATCTACAAAAACCGTCTGCTGTTAAGAGGCAGAAGCAAAACATAAGGGTGAAAAAGCAGCAATGGAATCTCTGTCAACCTGAAGCTTCAGCTTTTCTGTCTGCTGCACCTAAATAGGCAGACTGAGTCACTCCAGCACTAAAGTGGAAGGATAGGACAGAAAGAAAAGTCACTTGTGGATTGCCTTTCTGTAACAGAAAGAACACAAAGCTCTGCATTGGCCCTGAGCAAGGTGACTAACTTGAAAAGTACTTAGCTGAAACTCTTTCCTGGAGCATTGATTCATGCCCTCTGCTTCAACAAAGCCAGATTACAACGATTTGCCAGCAATTTTGTGGCTGCAAAATGCAGAAAGGTATTTTAATTACATTTTCCCCTGTGATCAGTTCAGTTGCCATATTCTGTGGTTGAAATCTTATT